ATCGAAGCTGCATCGTCTCCTCAAACGCATAGAGGAAGTGTCTTCAATAACAGTGCGAGGTGAGGAGGCACTGTGGCAGTTTTGACCTCTCCGCGAAGCAACTCGGGGCTTTTTTTCTTTAGAGAGATGACATTCTTGTAGAGTTTTGAGAATGATTCATGTGCAAAGAACACGGCGTTCAGGAAAGAATGACTCAGTCGCACCACAGTTTCCTTCTCCCACTACTTCTGTTTGAGTGACAGTCATCTGTGGGATGTTTCCTGCAACAGCGGAAAATAACACCAGAGCGATCGCACACGCACACACAGAGACAAACACACGTGCGTGAACACACGAAACACACACCCACACTCAGATATTTATCATAAATCAGTCATGCTTGCTACATTCCCACAAAACATGGCTCGCCATCGTGCGCGCACGTCAAGCTGGCGTTTTCTCAGAGATAATTCATTTCCCTTTTTCTGCGCTGAAAGCGATTTATTTTTAGACACATGTGAATTTTCAAGCCTTGAAATGAAAGATGTGAGCGAGATAAGCGAATCCAGTCTCGACTTGCATGATGCATTTCAAGGTCCAGCGATTTTTCCAGGATCCCGAACAGACGTGGAGATTTCTAAACAGCTTCCACTATAAACGATTGATTTATTTTCAGAAACACATTTGTTACAACTCATGCAAACACAACTGTAACTAAACAGCTTTTATGTATGTGTAATTATAATCGCCGTTTAACTCCTCCATATGTCTGCATTTTCACTGCAGACGTAGACGAGTGTGCACACTCTGCTCTGCGGCGGTGCTCGCTTCGGGCCGACTGCAACAACACAGTGGGTTCTTATGAGTGCGTCTGCCACCACGGTTACATCGATGTTGACCCGAGCAACCCTGGAGCCCACTGTGCAGGTTCGACCGCACACTTGTGTGTGTGTTTGCAGTGCAGACGTAACCCTTTAAAGTCTGGACTGTGAGATAATTGCCAGAGAATTAAAATGTTTATTTGCACATGACTTTGAATTTGCTCCATTTTTGCTATGCGCACCAATTTGTGCAATTTATTTAGGTTATTCAGAAACTAGCTCACACTTAACTTACACGTGCACAATGTATGTACACAGAGAAAACAATCATGTTGCTAAATATAGCATAGTTTGAAAGTGTTCTTTTTCTCAAGTGCTTCCAGTTACCCTATCCTCAAATTTCTAAAGCTAAGACTTTCCTCTCTCCCAAGGACCTTGAAAAGCTTATTCATGCATTCATTACCTCTAGACTGGACTATTGTAACTCCCTCTATTTAGGCCTCCCCCACTCCTCTCTTCACCGGTTGCAATTAGTACAGAACGCTGCTGCACGTCTTTTACCGGGTGTCAGAATGCATGACCATATGACTCCAGTTTTAGCCAAGTTACAAATGAAATTTTGCATTGATTTTAAAATTCTTTTATTCACCTATAAAATCTTAAACAACACTGCCCCTAGCTATTTAACAGAACTTCTTCATTTGTATAATCCTATAAAAGCACTAAGATCTTCTAACCCAGGGGTGGGCAATCTCAGTCCACGAGGGCCGGTGTCCCTGCAGGTTTTAGATCTCACCTTGGGTCAACACACCTGAATCACATGATTAGTTCGTTACCAGGCCTCTGGAGAACTTCAGGACATGTTGAGGAGCTAATTTAGCCTTTAAATCAGCTGTGTTGGTTCGAGGACACATCTAAAACCTGCAGGGACACCGGCCCTCGTGGACTGAAATTGCCCACCCCTGTTCTAACCAGATGCTCTTAATGCAACCTAAGTCTAGGTTGAAAACCAGAGGTGACCTTTGCTATTGTAGCTCCTAGACTGTGGAACAACC